GCTAACAGCCCAGGTCTGGGTTCAGGCTAGGAAGGGAAACTCAATGTGCTTAGGTGGTTGTTGTTGGATGATCTCCTGCCTGCCTCCTAAACCTCCGTATGCTGATGGTTAGATGCAAAACAGGTGGTGATGTGATGAAATTCATGGAAATCTTGAAGGAAAGCCCTCAGGTTGTCCTGGTGGCATGTTGTAGGTTGACCTTAAGCTGGTGAGAGCCATAGGGTCCATTTTTTTAATCAGTATTTTCAGTCACTAAATGAGCTTGTTGAACAGTGTGGTCTCAAGCACTAGAAGGGTACAAGTGACACTTCACTGTGTTATCCCCCATCATCCACGGTCACATCATACCTCTAAGAGGACCTATGGATTGCAAAAGATAACTTCTTTGCAGGAATAACAGATATCTGAGCATTTGTATCACTCACCTGCTCTGGGGAATGCAAGGATACCCATTTCCCAAGGGGCTGGATTTGAATATAAGCTGCCTTGAGCATAAGGAACAGTAGAATGGATCTTCTTAGGCACATATGCTGACATATGGTGGTCCTGGAGGAGTGTAACATATGATGTGCATTGAAATATCATCTGCTGGCTGGGCTACTCTGCTTCTAACTCTGTTTTTTTAATATGTAAAGTGTTTCAGACTGTATTTGATCTTGTTGCCTTGGCAGGCACTTTTCAACTGATGTATTTAGACGACATAAGGGAAAATACTGTCTGGATTAGGCATGAACTGAATCACACTTAACTGTATCTTGAAGGTATATAGCCTGGTTTAGAGAAGTCACCTTTAAAATAAAATTTTTAGTACCTTCTTTGTAAAAATCTCTCCAAGTAATTCTAAGATTGATTGTAAACTATTTACTTGTCCCTAGCTGCCCCGTTCATAGTAGAAAAATTTGAATTGTAATAAGCTTCATCAATTTGTAAACAGAAAAGCAACATCAGTTCATTAAGTGGCTTTTCTCTCTCCTATATATACAATTAAATTCTGATGTACATATATGATAGCTACAGAGTTATACCTGTGTGTTTCTGCGTCTGTGTGTATACGTTCAGATATCTGTGCATATATATATATGCAAGTTCATGCAGCAAACAAATCGGTCCATTTGATTAAGTGTCCTGATGCCTGCAGTAAACTAAAGTATTATGCAGTTTAGTGATAGGACTGCAGATGACTGTGCAAAAAGGTTCTCATTGTTAATGATTATTTCAATGATAACATGATGGGAAAATGAAAATGCCATATATGAATGTGACACAAGAGTGACAGTATTTGGAGGAGACTTACAAATGTTAAGCATCCAAATCCTGTGGTACTGCTGGACAGTACTTTTACTTTGCAAGACTCAAGGAGCATTTATGTTATCAGTCTGAGGTGACTGTAAAATCACTCTGAAGACTCAGAATTTTTAAAGGTTTATCTTAGTGTATTTGGTTGATGTAATAAGACAAGCTAGGCAAGAGATATATACAATTAATGTGACATATTAGAAATGTTAGTTAAGAGAGGAAGAGATAATCCAAACAGTTTCTATGCCTAATTACAATAGCAGAGGCCAGGATCACACTGGGGTGAGTTAAAAGAGAAGCCATTGTGCTGGAAGCTAGAGTATTCCTCCATTCAGCTACAAAGGCCTGGGGACAAGAAGCGCCACATTTGTGGAAGAGAGTCTCCTGTTGCAAGTGTAATCATAACTTGTGCTGCAAACATCCTGCAGTGACAACTAGCCTCAAGCTGACCCTGTATTAAGGTACTAAGAACCTTAATACAACCCTTTGCCAACGGCCAGTGGTTGACAGCAACAAGCCATTACACTGCACAATATTCTGCATCTTGGCCTGACAACTAGAATGCTATGGGGGATCGCACTCTTTACCTTGATCTCACAATAAACATAGCACCTGTAGAAACTGCACTGCAAAATAGAGGTTTCTGCTTCCAGGAAGTGTACAGTACATTAGATGTTTGGAATAACAACTCTGTTGAATTTTTTTTTTTAATATTACAAGAAGGTTTTAAAAAAGAATTATACAGAAATTAATACAAAGGTAGAGAAATGGAAAATGCAGTAAAAACTCTGGAAGCAAACCATGTTGTTTAAAGAAGTTATTCAAAGATGCTCAGAAGCAGAGTTCTAAATTCAGGTCTAATTAACGAGGCACAAGGCACTCTCCTGAAATCCTTCTGTGGTGGGTTGACCCTGGCTAAATGCCAGGTGCCCAACAAGCTGCTTGTTCACTCCTCTCCTCAACTGGACAGAGAGAAAATGTAATAAATATATGTGTGGGTCAAGATAAGGACAGGGATAGATCACTCACCAATTACCTTCACAGACAAAATAGTCTCGACTTGGAGAAATCAATTTAATTTATTACAAATCAAATCAGAGTAGGATAATGGGAAATAAAAACCAAAACTTAAAACACCTTCCCCTCACCCCTCTTCCCAGGCTCAATTTCACTGCTAATTTTCTCTGCCTCTTCCCCCCTGGTGGCACAGAGGACAGGGAATGGGGTCTGTGATCAGTTCATCACATGTTGTCTGTGCTGCTCTTTCCTCCTCACACTTGAGGGGTCACCAGTCCTGCCAGCAATCCTGCTCCAGTGCGGGCTCCTCTCCCCACGGGGGCACAGGTCCTGCCAGGAGCCTGCTCCAGTGTGAGCTTCCCATGGTGTCACAGCCTCCTTTGGGCATCCCCTTACTCTGGTGTGGGGCCCTCCATGGGCTGCAGGTGGAGATCTGCTCCACCATGGACCTCCATGGGCTGCAGGGGCACAGCCTGCCTCACCATGGGCGGCACCATAGGCTCCAGAGGAATCTCTGTTCCCATGCCTGGAGCACCTCCTCCCCTCCTTCTGCACTGGTCCTGCTGTCTATAGAGTTGTTGCTCTCAAATATTCTCACTCCCCTCTTCCAGCACAGTTTTTTCCCCCTTCTGAAACATGCTATCCCAGAGCCACTTACAACCGTTGCTGATGGGCTCAGCCTTGTCCAGCAGTGGGTTCCTCCTGGAGCTGGCTGGCACAGGCTCTGTCAAACACAAGGGAAGTTTCTGGGACCTTTTCACAGAAGCCACCCCTGTAGTCTCCCCTGCTACCAAAGCCTTGCGACACAAACCCAGTACACCATCAGAGCCATGCAAAGCTCCATGTTCACCGTGCAGGAACCTAGCGCATTTCCATCTGTTTTGAAGAACACATTCCAGCACGGTCTTTGCAAAGACAGTGCAACACCTAGAGCCTCCAGATGCTGCCATGAAGGCCAGTGTATTTATAAAAACAGATGTTGTTTGGTGTGGTACTGCACTGGATGTATTCTGTCCTGTCTCCTCCAGATGTGTGAATTGTGATACAGCAGAATAGGTTGAAACAGGGAGGCTTGAAAGGAGAGGTAAAGTCAAGCAGTGTATTTTCCTCCCTGTATTAAAGAAATAAGATCCTTACTTATGCTGTTAACCTGAGCAAGCACCACTCCCCATCTCTGTATCTGGTGTAGTAAGAACTCTTCCCTCTCTTTTGTTTTTGGAGGTATTACTATGTATACCTCTAAAAACATTACCTATGGATAAGTATTTGAGAATTACAGGACAGAACTATAAGTAGTGTTACACTGTGTAGTCCTTCCAATAAATGAAATGCAACAAAATGAGTCAACACTTGCCAGTTTGGGGAAGATATCAAATTATTTAGTGAGACTAACGAAAAGCAGATTGGCGATGACAAAATATTACCATGGAAACCCTGGCAGATATACCTGTATACACAAAGTCATCGTACCAGCTAAGCCCTTTGTCTGCAAGGACAGCACCTCTGAGCTGGGAATCTAGCACAACTGAACTGTAATGGAAAAGCAGGAGTGTGCTAAACATCTGTTTTAAAAACAGTTTATGGCTGTCATCAACTTTAGTTAGCTGAAAAGCTGCGGAGAAGTCTCAGTAGTTAACAAGTGGCAATACTCAGGTTGCACGCCACCAATACTTGTCACATTGTGTTGTGACAGTGGCATTTCATCCTAGACCTTGGATGCCTCTCGTGCTTTCCACACACAGGTTGGTCACTACTAGAAGTTCAGGTTTTAGCAAATCACCATTATCTCCTGCCCTACGTATTTGGGAAACCTCAGGTATGTCTTGTGATACCATGTGTTATTGATTACCTGAAACAGCATTGGTGAAAAGGCAACCCGGCAGGTGAATTGTGTTGATTCAGGTACACAGAGCAGTGCCTGTTGGAGGCCTTTATACACATTAAGGGTTTCTTTGTTGCCTGTGTTTGCCCTAGAATGGGGTTTGTGCAGCCTTTTGGCTTGGGTTCTGTGACCTTGCTCTGTGTGCATGGAGAGTTCAGAAAGGCTGCCCAGACCATGGCACTGAGGACCAAGAAGAGCAGACTGAAGGAGGCTGCATTCAGTCCCGTGGTGCTGCCACACTGCTAAGACACAGTGTTTGTTCAGGAGCTGTTACTCCATCCTGACAAGGATACCGTAGAACTAAAGCAGGTTCAGCGAAGGAAAACAGCCACAGCAAGGGAGATCTGTTACAGGCAGAAAAAAATGGTGGTTGTTTACTTCAGGAAACAGGTAAGGCGGTCACTATAAAACGGTAGTAACTATTCCTTTGTAGTAGCATAAAATTGCAAGGCAGCAAGTACAAAGATAGTATTCTATTCGTCCATTACACGGAAGGAACCCGCCTGGCAGTTACGCTGCAGACCCTGCCCACAGGCTGACGTGAGCCACGCTGCACCTCCCGCCACTGCACCGGCCCTCGCCTCGCCGCGCCCTCTCGGCGGCGCCACGCCACATTGTCGGCGATCGACTGCTCAGGCCCTCCCGGCCCCGCCCGCTGGAGGGCTGGTCTCCGCGCGGTCCTCGATTGAGGCGGCCTTTCCCTCCTCGGGAGCCCCGCCTACGGCCGGCCAGCTGGTGCGGCGGGCGGTGGGGGACGGGGGCCGCGGGCCGCGCCGCTGCTGTGCCGAGCTTACGGCGTCGGCGGGGGACAGGGACAGCGTCGCTGCCGTACCGAGCCGCCGGCGGCGGCGGTCGCAGCAGCTGCTCCCGATGCTGCGGTGGCTCATCGGCGGCGGCCGTGAGCCGCAGGGCCTGGCGGAGGTAGGGTGGCGGGCTGGCGTGGTGAAAGGGGCAGATCAGCTGGAGGCGGGGCTATGGGAAGCGGTGTCCCCGCCGGCGGGGCCGGAGTGCTGCTCCTGTGGACAGCCGCTGTCCTGGGGCACCGCGCTGGTGGAGGGCCTTAGACAGCAGTGGGAGGACCGGTGTGAGGGCGGCGGCCTTCTCGTCGGGGCGGGTCGCTGGCCCTGTGGGACCTACGCAGAGCTCGCGGGAGCAAGGGGCCTTCGAGGCTGGCGCGCAGCTTGTGAAACCTCCTGGCCGATAGAAGGGGTTACAGGCTCCGCTGAAGAGAAGGAGTTGACGGGGAAAAAAACGAAAGCAAATAGCAAATCCCGCAGTCTGAAGGGACTGGGAGCTGTCACTGTCAGGAGGGCTCCAGCTTCCTTCTGCCTGTTCAGTGCGTCCTGAGCCAGTGGGGGTTATGTTTTGTAGCTTCCAGCGTATGGAGGCCTGCCCTCGGGATTTCCCGGTCAATGTAAATTATAGGCAGTAAGTTATTATTTGTGTGGCCTAGTTGTAGTTTGTAGTAGTCTTGCAGCATTTCTTCTTTGTTTCTCATCATAAAGTAAGTTATGTGAGGTGGTGATACATCCTGTTGCTTCACTTGGGAAGAGAGTTTTACTGGGTTTGGGGGAGAGATTGATGTTCTTGTCCCTTAGACACTGCTGAAGTTCTGAGCTTGGAGTTAACTAGAATTCATTAACACTATTGCAGGGCTCCTTACACTTAGTGGTTTTGTAGTCCAGACTGCTGTACAGGAACAAGTCATGACAGTATCATGGTGGCTTTCAAACACCAGTAGTTACTTTGGTGCAAATTTGAGTCTGCACCAGTTTGGAATGACAGTGTCTGGAAATGCCACTGACCTTTATCATTAGTCAAAATGTTGGTTATATTGCAGTCATAATTAGCAGGTTTGTCTGCAGTTGTTTTTAGAAGAGTATGGGAAATACAGGACAGCTTTCTAACATATCCTAGAAAACTACGTTGGTCTGCCTTCCTCTCCAAAATTTAAACTCTCGCTGTTGTTTAGTATTCTGTGATTTGAAAAAAGCATGAGTCAAGATGTGTTCCAGTTCTTCCATTTGTAGCTTAGGTAAATGGTGGACAGGGTCGTTGTTGGTGATAGTGGGATTGAGTGTGCTCTGAGCAAGTTTGCTGATGACACCAAGCCTTGTGATTTGGTTGATATGCTGAAGGGAAGGGATGCCATCCAGAGGGATCTTGGCAGGCCTGAGAGGTTGGCATGTGCAAATCTCATGGAATTCAACTAGCCAACTACAAGGTCGTGCATCTGGGTCATGGCAGTCCCAAGCACAAATACAGACTGGGTTGAGAGCAGCCCTGAGGAGAAGGGCTTGGGGGTATTGACTTACAAGAAGCTCAGTATGAGCCAGCAGTGTGTGCTTACTGCCCAGAAAGCCAACGTATGCTGGGCTGCTGCAAAAGGAGTGTGACTAGCAGGTTGAGGGAGGTGATCCTGCCCCTCTGCTCTGATGAGAACCTGCGTGGAGTACTGTGTCCACCTCTGCCCCCATCCCCCCAGCACAAGGGGGACATGGAGCTGTTGAAGTGAGCCTAGAAGAAGGCTACGAAGACAGTCGGGGGCTGGAGCACCTCTTCTGAAGACAGGCTGAGGGAATTTGGTTTATGAAGCCTGGAGAAGAGGAGGCTCTGGGGAGACCTTATCACAGTCTTACAGTAACTAAAAGGGGCCTACAAGAAATCTAGAGAAGTTCTTTTTACAAGGGGGAATGACTTTGAGCTGACAGAGGAGAGATTTAGATGAAACATTAGGAAAAATTTCTTCACTATGAAGGCTGTGAGACGCTGGTACAGATTGCCCAGAGAAGCTGTGGCTGCCCCATCCCTGGTAGTGTTCAAGGCCAAGTTGAACGGGGCTTTGAGCAACCTCGTCTAGGGAAAGGTGTCCCTGCCCATGGGAGAGAGGTTGGAACTAGATGCTTTTTAATGTCCCTTCGAACTCTAACTGTTCTATTATGCCATGGTTCTGTTTCCATTCCTACCACTGTTTTGCTGAAAGATGGTTATCAGTTTGCTTCTCTGTTGAAAAAGTGAAGAACAAACACTGGTAAGGGTTAGTCCTGGAAGTACTTTTCTCCTGCATTATGTAGTATTGTTTTATCTAAAGGTCGTCTTCATAACTATCTCTGTACTCTCCTTAAATAGATAAAGCAGTGTGTGGGCTATGGACTGACGAAGTTTGTTCCATGTTCTATGGCATCAGCCAGTTACGAACAGGCCACATGTATTCAAGTGACGTTGCACTGGGTGAATCATAGAATAATTAGGGTTGGAAAGGCCCTTAAGATCATCTAGTTCCAACCCCCCTGCAGTGGGCAGGGACACCTTACGCTAAATCATATCACCCAAGGTATCGTCCAGCCTGGTCTTGAACACTGCCAGGGATGGAGCATTCACAGCCTCCCTGGGCAACCTATTCCAGTGCCTCACCACCCTAACAGGAAAGAATTTCCTCCTTATATCCAATCTAAACTTCCCCTTTTTAAGTTTTAACCCGTTAAGCCTTGTCCTATCACTGCAGTCTCTAATGAAGAGTCCCTCCCCAGCATTCCTATACGCCCCCTTCAGATACTGGAAGGCTGCTACAAGGTCTCCATGCAGCCTTCTCTTCTCCAGGCTGAACAGCCCCAACTTTCTCAGCCTGTCTTCATACGGGAGGTGCTCCAGTCCCCTGATCATCCTCGTGGCCCTCCTCTGGACTTGTTCCAACAATTTCATGTCCTTTTTATGTTGAGGACACCAGAACTGTACACAATACTCCAGGTGAGGTCTCACAAGAGCAGAGTAGAGGGGCAGGATCACCTCCTTCGACCTGCTGGTCACGCTCCTTTTGATGCAGCCCAGGATATGATTGGCTTTCTGGGCTGCAAGCGCACACTACCAGCTCATGTTCATTTTCTCATCAACCAACACCGTCAATAGGATAGACAGACCTTCTGGCAAAGCTGTCCTAAATTTATGAAATATAGATTTCTCCTTACCCATTTCTTTTTTTACTATGGAGTTGAAAATCATTGAAGGCTTAAGCTCCTGAATCTTTTCAGTTGGTGTACATCTCTAGTAGTGTGGCTCTGGTAATGCTAACAGCCTAACTTCAGTAGCATCATCGTCAACATAAGCTAATTTCTCATGCTCCATGATATACATATAAATATATCTGTATACTGTTGTTTTAATATTTTTAGTGAGTTGCTTTTGAAAATCCCTCTTCTAAGGACATGAAATCACAGGGGTTGTAGGAAGTTCTGAGGTTGAGATGAACATTGTGCATTTTTTACTGATGTAATGATGCTTACAGGTCCTGCATAAAAACATGCAAGTTGGCAGTGGATTCCATTAGTGTCAGCATCTAGCCTTCTCTTCTAAAAACTTGGTGTTGCAACAGGAGAGTTCAGTTATTAGTTTATGTAAAAGATGGATTTATTAAGAGAAGGAATGTACATGTAACCCCACACTAGTAAATATTAGTAAAGATCTGAAGAGAGAATATAGCTTGTCGTATGACAGTACTGGGGGAAAAACTGTTATTTTGTTGTTATCTATAGTATATCATCAGCACTGTATCTTTCAGTATTCACAGGCATTCTTAGAAAGAGCAAGATTAGACACATTGTTCAAAAGAAGTAGTCTTGTAGTAAATAGTCTTGTACTAAATAGAAGACAACAACAGAATATAGAATTGGGATGTTAATGCTACAAATTCTGACTTTTTAAAAGCAATTGATTTCTGAATGTGTATTTCTATTAGTAAATAAAAATGGAAGTCTTCTACAGCATTGCTAATGTCATCCAGTGATGCTGAGATTTGCTTAGGATTTTTAGAACTTTTTTTTAAGGAATGTTTTGATGAGCTTTTGACATCTGAAGTCCCAAGTTTCATGTTTGTCCAACTTTTCTTTATAACCATGCAGACTCTACTTCATTATTTTAAATGGGAACTACTATTCTCACATAATTGCATAAAATGAGGAACAGTTGCTTCATGAAATACATCAGATAGCACAAAACCAAGATAAAATCACAAGAACTTGCATTTTGACAACCTCTTCATTTTAAAAATAAACAAGATTTCTTTCCCTGTTTATTAGCTTTGTCATTCTTAAGTTCTGAAGAGCAGTATCATAGTACCATTATGGAAGTAATAGAATATAATTTATATTACTGAAAGAAAATGTTGAAGTTTCTGGGGATAATATGTATGTCTTTCATGTAGAATTCCTAGTCATGTATGCTGCATGTTGTGCAGTATTCGGTAATTACTGTTTTACAGTCTAGGTTCTGTTGAAGTCCTCAAAGAAGAGACAGTCCTGAAAGTAAGATGGTGTTGACTGTTGCATAAAATGAATCTAGGAGGAGAGTGCTGTCACTAAGTTAGTACTGAGCTATTTAGATTTATATATTTTTAAAATAATGAATAATAGCAAGTTGTTCCAGAATGTGGAAGGCCTTTAAGGTAAAAGAGTTGTCATCTATTGAAACAAACTGATGATTGAGATAAGCACAACTCTTGCACTTTGAGACTACAGTCCTGTGCAATATTTTATTGACCCTGTCTGGTGATCAGCCTGATTGATTGTTCTTTTAATTAATAGTCTAGTTGGGGGTAATTGCAGATGCTGTTCTGTAAAATGATTAACCGTCCTTGTTTTTTTTTGTGTTTTTTTTTTTTTTTTTTAATATGATTTGCTTTGGTATTTTGTGAATGGATTCCCAATGGATGCTTTATATATTATGTAACAGAACAGCATTTATTCTTGTTTGTTTTAAATATGTCATCTTTATATAGGATTTTAAAATTGAATGGCAGGTGAAAGATATGAAAGGTTCACAAACCTCTCAGGAGAGGTGTATTTTAATGAAAAACTGAATGTGTGGATATTGAGTCATGAAGGTGACTCCACATGACAGCTCATGACTAAACTGTTTTTTCATCTTGGTGTATCAGTGATTAAAGCAGTACAAAATTCTTTGTTAAACAGAAAATGCTGTCTTATCATTCAAAATACATGCTATAGAAAGATATTATTTACTTGAAATAATACATTATCTTTTGTAACAATTTTCATTAAGGTAAAATTATGTTTCAGTAACTTAGTTTAACTTCGAATATAACTGTACATTTGCATGATTCATATGTAGGTTGTTAGACATTACAAAGACCTAATGAAAATAATGATGTCAGTACAAAATAACTTTCATTTCTTTTTTATGAATTTTAGAAATCATCTGTACAGACAGTTGGTGAAGAACAAATACAGAATCCTTACACGGAGCTTCTTGTGTTGAAAGGTCATCAAGACATAGTACGATTTCTTGTGCAAATAGATGATTGCAGGTATGAAAATTAATTTCAAATTGTTTCACAGCATCCTTGGCAATACTTCAGAAAATATGAAAATTCTGTAATATTTATAATTCAATCTTTTCATTTTTGGTGGGGAGGGCAGGAAAAGTCTGGAGTTAAAAAAGGCCTTTTCTTGGTATTTTACTACATCTTTTAGCTTCTCTTGTAAGTTATACTTTCATGAGAAAATAATGGTGATGGAGTTACATTTCTTGGTAAAAATTCAATAGTTTGAAAGAAATACCTTTAACTAATTCCGCCCTTCTCTTTCAGGCTTTCTCCCTGGACAATATGCAGTAGTGTCTGCTTCTGTTCTGAGTGGATGCATGCATTAGGTTTTTGAATTGAGGGCAGCTGCTGCTTCATCTTTTGGTTCTACAAAAGAATGTAATAGATGTCTACAGATACACTATAGCAATTGAACATGACATTCTCAGCATTTTTAGCAATACTGAATGTTGCTGTTTCTTTCCAATCTTGTATTATACTTTCTTCTGAAACTTTAGTGCTTAATTCACTTGAGTTTCAGTTAATGCAACTTTTTTCTGAACTTTTCAACGCTTCATTTAGAATGACTTCTTAGTAAAATTCAACATATGCCTAACCTCTGCATTAAATATCTCCTCCAATTTGGTCTTGTTCAACTTGCTGTTCTTCTTTATAGCTTAGTGGTTGCTTTTTTTCTCTCATCTAATTCTTAGCTTTTTGTGCTTTCGTTTTATATATTCCCTGACAGTCTTTATCTGTTCCTTTCTTAGTTCCTTGTAATTAAGTCCAACTCTATTTTGAACTCTGAGGACAGAGGTTTCTAAAAACTGGAAAACTGGTTACGAAGCAGAGATGAAGTCACTACAGTTGGCATTATCATTTTGTAGTGTGAATTCATTTGAGAGAACAAAATGTGGTAGTTTTATGTTATGACCTAGCTTCTAGCCTAGTTTTGTATAAGTTAACCTTGCATGTTCTTTAATTTAACTTAATCCTGAAAGAGAAGAAATATTTATCTGCCTTAAAAGTAAGGTTGTGAAACCTTTAGTCAATAATAAGCATAGTGGCTCTTGGCTGATGTAGAGAATTAAATAGAAAACTGTTAGAACTAAGAATGTAAGTAATAGGCAATAGTCTCTCTATTAAGGAGTTCTAGTAATTTATACCTTTTATGGATTAGGCACAGAAGGGGATTTCTGATATATTAATCAATACACTACACTAAGGTAACATGGGTAAGTGTTTTGTTTACGTCCTTGCAGTGTACAGCAGGTGTTCTGTGTAGGGACGTTCTTTTCTTCTCCACATTGATCAGGCAGGGATCTGTCTAAATGTGGATTTGAAGGATAGGTCATTCAGTGGATGAGGATTTGGCTGGATGGTCACACTCAAAGAGTTGCAGTCAATGTATTGACGTCCAAGTGGAGACCAGGGATGAGCAGTGTCCCTCAGGGGCTAGTGTTGGGACCGATGCTATTCAACATCTTTGTCAGCGACATGAACAATTGGGTTGATGTACCCTCAGCAAGTTTGCTGGTGACACCAAGCTGTGTGGTGCAGTCAACACACTGGAGGAAAGGGATGTCACCCACAGGGACCTTGACAGGCTGGAGAGGTGAACCACTGCAAACCTCATGAAGTTCAGCAAAGCCAAGTGCAAGGTCCTGCACCTGAGTTGAGGCAACTCTCAAGATCAGTACAGGGATAACTGGGTTGAGAGCAGCCCTCCCTTGGAGGACTTGGGGATATTGTGAATGGAAAATTGAAAGCAAGCCAGCAGTGTGCGCTTGAAGCCCAGAAGGCTAACTGTATGCTGGGCTGCATCAAAAGAATTGTGGCCAGCAGGTTGAGGGAGGGGATTCTGCCCCTTCACTATGCTCTCACGAGACCCCACCTGCAGTGCTCCGTTCAGCTGTGGGGCTTCTAACCAAAGGGACATGAAGTTGTTGGAGATAGTCCAGAGAAGGGCCATGAAGATGATCAGAGGGCTGGAGCACCTCTGCTATCAAGACAGGCTGAAAGAGTTGGGCTTGTTCAGCCTGGAGAAGAGAAGGCTCTGTTGCTGAGCTTAGAGCAGCCTTCTGGTACCTAAAGGAGGCCTGCAAGAAATCTGGAGAAGTACTAGGCATGTAGTGACAGGACAAGGGAGAATGGCTCTAAACTGAAAGAGGAGAGATTTAGATTAGCCATTAGGAAGAAATTCTTTACTGTGAGTGTGGTGAGTCACTGGTGCAGGTTGCCCAGGGTAGCTGTGGGTGCCCCATCCCTGGCAGTGTTCAAAGCCAGGTTGGATGGGTCTAGCAGAAGGTGTCTGAAGGTGTCCCTGCCCTGACAGGCTGGTTAGAACTAGATGGTCTTTAATGTCTCTTCCAAGCCAAACTGTTCCATGATGCTGTGGTGAAAATTTCACAGAAGAGTCCATGGAGAGTTTTTAACTTGCCAGTTTTCATTCTTAATGTCATAAATACGTATTTCAGACAAGTTACATGCATTACCATGAAATTTATTTGTCTACATTACAGTAATCCACCAGAAGATTCATAAAAATAGAAGAGTCTTGTGAGGCTTTTTGCAGTTCTTTTTTTTTTCCCAGACAAGTTGTTAAAAAAACCTTTCCTCTAAGTACATTTTTCCCAGAACACGTAATAAATATACCTGATCTTTATGGAAATATCAGAGTATTCTCAGATTGCATGCACTGTTGGATGCAGAGACATCTTTCACAATTTTGGGCTTTATTGAAGTAAATTATTGAAGCTAAACTAATGATAATCAGTGTAAAACTAAACTCTGCATGGGCACATTGAAGATAGGTTATAAAAATAGCATATGGATAACAAGTAAGTTATATAGCTGGTTAATATTCTGAGGGTTTGAGGAATTTAAGGGAGTTCCTTCACTGGGCAGTAATGCTGAGGTTTTATTTATCAAAAATATAGTAGTTTCTGGATTGTTAAACAGCTGATAGTATTTTTCACTTGATTCTTTTCAGTAAAATTAGTATTGTTACTCAGCTTCTGAAATGTTTTTATTTAGTTTCTGCAGCTGTTCCATTGTGTGCTTTTTGTCAACTATTGTAAGCCAAGTTTCACGCTTCAGGTCTTTAGATAATATCATCTTAGTGAGAATTTTGCAGAAGGATTTTCTTGTTTTCTCAGTGGCTCAGCTAAAACCAGTGAGTGGAAAATTTTCTCAGATTGGTTTTTGAAGATACTAAATAAATCCTGTATAAATGTAACAGAAAACTGCTTTTCAAAAAAAAAAAAATTATTATTATTTTCTCTTGTACTTTTTGAACATAAGGTAAGGGTCATATTGATTGGAAGATCACTAAAGAAGGCTAAGCCTCAGCAAGAATATTCCAAAAAACTGGACTGAGATAAAATTGCATGTAATACTCCGGCATTTGACACATTAAACTAAGCTGAGTTCATAATACATTTGAAGAATAGTGGTTTTGTTGCTCATTTGACCATCTCTTGCTCCTTGGGGAAGCAGAGAAGGTTATAGATGATGGTGATCATGACTGGAAAAGAATCAGGTGACCCGTGAATCTCCAGCTTGGTGAACAGAATCTAACTGTAGAATAACTATACCTTTATATTTAAACAGAAATCCTGGTTAGAAGATGAGGAGGAAAATACACAGAACAGCACTCTATTGAGCTTCTATGTTGACAAATTACAGTCATGCCATCTTTCAAAGACCAGTTTTCTTCCCAAAATTTTGTTCAAGTGTCACACATCTCCAATATTGCTCAAGAAGGGAGTTGGAATTTAAAGTTATTCCTGAAATGTGAGAGTCTTACTATTTTAAGTTCTTGTCATTGTCACAAAACAGGGTATAATAGAGCTAAAAGGCAACTAAAGATAAGAAATGTAATTAGAAGTGTGCATTGAAGATTGTTGTTTTGCTCAAATCTTTTTAAAGAAGGGGCTTGTTTGGTTTTAAAGTAATGACATATATGAAGAAAATACAGCTTACACTTTTTTTTTTTTTCCTCCCTATAATAGAATAAACCAGAAGGATATATGGAAGAAAGACTGGGGAAAAAACCCTGTGGCTTTATGTCAGAAAACTTACTCTATTAGCAGTTTCACATTAGCAAGTTTCACAATCAGTGTAATTGCAAAGAGTCTAAAAGAAAGAACAAGCATATTGTTAATGAAATCATTCACAGCTGGTAATAGAAGAACAATCAGAAGGGATGTAACTTCTCTTATTCATGACTTTCTTGCACATAGGATGAATCTTTGTTCTCTAAATACCGACTTCACCCTTAGCGAAGGCTTAAAACAAAAGGAAAAATTATAAGGTAGATATATTTGCAAGTAACAACTGAATTAAATTATCTTTGGAAAGTTTTGCTTCTGTTCTAGGCTTTCTCAACTCGTAGTACACATTTACTGAGATAGCTGGGATGTGTGTGCCAGCTACAGTGTCACTGTGGTGGTGGTAAGGTGCAAATGTAGGCAGGTAGTTAGATATTCAGTCTACCCTAAAGAAAATTGTTGAATTTAGGTCTAACTTTGTTAATGTGAAATTAACAAGCTAATATGAACCTTTTTTTTTTTTTCCTCATGTGGTATGCCTTAAAGCTGGATGTTTAGCAGAAGTCAAATTAAGCAACTTAAGCTACAGTTTAAAGTATCATGATAAATACCAGGCTCCTCTGCTCGTGGCTGAGCTCAGATGAGTGTAACTTGTTAAATGTCTTGCAGTTTGTTAGTTCTGAATAATAGTACTTGGTTTTTCGCTGTTCTTTGGTGTGTAAGATCTCACATTTTTAAACAAAAGAATTGTTTCTATAATGTGTGATTCTCTATAATACTATGTATTGAAATTCTTAAGCCTTGCTCTTATGTGTATGTTGATAAATACCTATTTAAATGTACTGACTTCAGTTTATAAACTGAGATTTACAAATTTGTGATTTACAAATGTGATTATTCTTCAGAGCTGGAAACTGAGAGATATATATATATGTACGTATATTGTAAATATTTTTCTTACGTAACTGTTTATGGCTTTTCCATTACATCTGAAGATTTCACTTTTTTTATTTTTATTTTAGGTTTGCATCTGCAGGAGATGATGGCGATATATTTCTGTGGAATGCTCAGGTTAGCTATTTTTTGGGAGCTCTGGAGAGGGTAGAAGCTAGTTTCTTCTAACTTCTTAGAAAAGACTTAGCAGCATCTAGTAGGGAAGAAGCAGAATTAATAAGAGTTGCTGGAGGGTTATGGCTTGAAAATGTAGAAGTGGAGGGAGTCTGTCAAATCTGAGTTTACAAAGGAGAGCTAGGAAAGTAAAAGATGTGTGAACACAAGGAACAGTAAGTTCTAAAAGTTAGAATGTTTTGGAAAGACAATAGTGATTTTTATAGAGATCTGTGAGGAGTTGATGATATGAAAAGCAGAAGTGTGTATGAACTTGTGTCTTTAAGCTTTCCTTTAAAATATGTTTGGGTTTGCTGTAAACACTCAAATGTTGACTAGTTACTCAACAAATATGTAGCAATCCTGTTAAGGTTTATATATGTACTTACATTTTTAAGTCTATTACAGTGGCTCTGTTACCGATATCTATTTGTAGTATAGCTGATTAGACTAAATAGAGAGGCGACACAAAGCGATATTGGAAAGACACCAAAGTCAGTGGAAGTTAAATGTTTCATGCAGTGCAGAACCAAGGCTTTATTTACTTGCTGTGATAAAAACTTTCTTATAACTTTTGAAAACCATACTAAGACATTAGTTGTATCAAGGAAATAGTGCTGTAAGTATGATATGTGTTCTGCTCTTCTGCTTTGTGTCTGTGTATCATCAACAAAATTGTAGAGAAGGGATGAGCACTAGAATTGTGTTAAGGAGAGCTGGCATACAAGTTTGATTGTTTGATAGGAAGTCTAAAATAGATACATACTGTGCTGTCTAAACAGTGTGTATCAAACTTTCAAATTAAGGCAGAATTCTCAGACTGTAAAATTTTTAAAAACCTTATGAAAAAATTATGTGACATGTATTACTACAGCTGTATGCTATAGTAAGCATTTTCCAAATTTTACCTTAGTTTTCCATGTTTTTATTTTTCAGACCGGAGAAAAACTTTCTGAACTTCATGGACACACCCAAAAAATTACAGCTGTAGCACCATTTCCTTCATCAGATGCTTCTGAAGAAAAAAAACACTTGATTTTAACAGCATCAGCTGATAGAACAGTTATTGTATCCTTATATCTGGAGAAGATTCAAATTTCTATGGGCTTTTGTGTTTTTACTTTTAAATGTAGCATTGAGACAGGGTGCAGGTTGTTTAAATTTATTGGCTGATAATATCTAGTAGGTATAATCTAATTACACTAGGATTTCACTAGTTATTGCTCACAGGTAGATGAAATCCTTGTTACAAAAGTGAATCCATAACAGACTATTATTAATATCTCATTTTGGACAAATATTGAAAACACAATTTTGGACAAATTTGGACAAATATTGAAAATCAGTATTTAAAAGACTGACATTCTCCATACCTATTTCCCGATTTGTCATTTAGTTACAAACACAGCAGTTATATTTATAATGTATTAAAAACCTTTCAGTTTCCTTATTGAATAAAGTCAGGTTTGGGATTGCAGTAGTGGCAGACAGGTTCAGAAAGTGTCATGTTTCCATTCTACTGTCAAGGTAAGTTAAGGAAAACCTAGGTATGTCTGCTGTTTTCTTGTATATAAGTACCTATTATGTGTGGCTTATGGACCATATGGGCAGGTGTGTTAAAATGAACATGAGTGGTTGGTTTAAGAACAGGTACCTAATGGGTGGCTGAGAAGTGAGCACAATTCTGAATTTGTTTTTTGAATTCTTAATACCTCAGTTTTCTTTCTGAAAGGATGTAGAACAAAGGTCACTTTATGGCTTGGTTTTGTTACTGTGTTTGAAAAGGCAACCTACAGTCAAACTAATTCGTGAATGTTAATAGTAAAAAAAAAATTGAAAAAATCAATTTTTGCATTTTTGGTAGACAAATGTAACATATAGTATATAATTAAATCTTATTTCTCACGAAAGTGACATCTTAATACTGTATTTTATAGTACTTACAGCTTTATCTAGCTAAAGCTCATGATCATTTCACTGAGAAATTCCCTGTAGAACTTTTGCAGGGGACATATATCTGATTTTTGTTCTGCAGTGTTTGACAGTTCTTCAAAGACTGAATGTATGGTTGTCTGGAGGGAGTGATCTGTGTGTTTGGAACCGAAAATTAGATCTCTTGTGTAAGACCAGTCATCTTACTGATGCAGGTAAAAATGTAAATGACTCATTATATCTGTTAAAGTGCAAGTAAAATGGATCTGTATAATGATGCAAAACCAACTTGGCAAATTCTCTCTAATTCTAATGATAACATTATGTATTAAAGCCACTCTCTATTTTTTTAAATGTCAGACTTAATCATTTCAGAATTAAGGCTGCTTTTAGTCTCCTGTGCTGTGTGAATTTTAGAATATGTCAGACATCAGTAAGTGTAGTTAGCTTGGTCTTACAGGCTTAGACCTTGGATGCTGATTTGTACATATTTGCTCTAATGTGGACTAGATGCTTTGGCTGCCTTTCTCTGTGAGCAAGTGGGAGTTTTATTATTCCTAAGTAAAGTTTTCTAGTAGTAAACCAGTAAAGATTTCTTCTTATTATTAAGAATTAATACTTTTGATAGTGCAGATTTTGATACAAATGCAGTAAATGTAATCAGATCTTAATGTCAGTCACACTTTTCTGTTAATAAGCTAATATATTATCTGTCCATGCAAAGAAAATTGTTGCATGTTATTAGCATACTTTACAAAGATACCTATGAAGCTGTGAACAAAATTCAAAGTTGGAACCAATATTTTTCATATTTTTGTCATAGAATGGAGTAGTGGTAGGCAAAAGCTTCTGAATCTTCGAGTATATTAATGCTTCTTTTAGGCCAATGTGAAATACCATGCCAAGTACCAGGTGGAAGTGGCACTGTAGTGCTTTGCATGAGGGGCTGCTGAAACTGTTGTACAATTGATCAGTAAGATGTGCAGCATGCACCCTCTTCCCTCCTAATCTCTTTCTTCTCTTATGGGGAAAGACACTGGGGAGTTTTCCTTTAATGGTGTGGCAGCACGGATTGAGGGAATTCTGTGCAGGGTGAAGGCACAGTAACAGCAAGCTGGGCATTTTATCTTGTGACATATTCTTCTTTGGCTGGCTCTGCACAGTATTTTAGTATCATGCATACTGTGGTCGTAGCAGTATCTAGAAACTTTGGTACTGCATATGTTGAGAGTCTAAATAGTTACCCTTAATACTGTCCAGAATTAGGGCATAAATATCATAAGTGTATTTAAAGTGAAAAGATTATTGATCCTTAGCTTCAAGTTTGACATTCAAAATTCTCCTGGATTCAGGAACAAAACTTCTGACTCTGTCTCCATCTGAGGTAGTCTGTTCATGTCTAATGCTGTTCAACTTTCACTTCAGGTAATATGCTTTTATAATACCTTGTAAATGGAAGGAAGACTATGAACAACTTTATTAATAAGGAATTAACAGTTTGCTGTGTTTTATTATGGTCAATTTTCTCCCTTATCTCCTGTGTTTTTTTCAAAGGTATTACTGCTTTGGTTGAATTGCCTAAAAATTGTGTTGCGGCAGCTGTTGGCAAAGAGCTAAGTGAGTATGTTTGCATTTTGTTAGATGTTCATATACTTCTATAACAGCTGCTTATCAGGGATATGTGTAAAGAGCATGCTGCTGGAATTCTATAGGACCAGTGAATGGTATTAGGGTGTGATTAGCAGCCTTCCTTTTTCTGTTATTTGACAGTCAGACAATGCTGATCTCATTCAGGAATTCTGCATGACAAAACTTTCCTATATTCTTTGTTACTGTAATTACTATTATTGCCACCCATCCAGATCTGATTGTGGTGGTCTACATTTGTTCTGGAGAAGGTCAGGATCTCATTACCTGAGTTGTCGGATACTAGGCTTCTCTGGAGCCTCCTTATCCTAGCATCAGGAATGTGAGATACTGGCAATCTCATGGTACTGTCCAAAGCTATAATGAGACAATGTGACAGTTTCTGTTGCTCAGTTGAGGACAGGGTTTTCTGTCTGTGCAAACTGTACATCATCAGCTAGCTGTTGATACAGTCTTTTAAATAGAATGTTTTATAAAAAAATCCAGGAGTGAAAGTACAGCACTGAATCAGCAAAACAGACTTTGTTCAATATGATTAAACACTTAGCTAAAAAATAGCAATCTGATATTCTGATAAGAGAATTGCGAGCGAATAGTCTTCTTGTTTTTAGACATTGGTATGCAATGTTGACTTCCTTCTGAACTTCCCACAGTTCTGCAGTGCCCTTGAGATATAAAAGAAATTCCAATATTGGTTAAAATAAAGTCTTAATTCCTGTCGATCTTTATGGCCTTACTAGAGAATATTGCATCCTTTTGAATGATAGTTTTCAGTCAGATGAGCCATTAAGAAGTATGTTTTGCTTTTAGTTTACTTATCAGTAAAGATGTTTATACTTTTCTACTTTCTGCAACTTCTGATGTAGACAGATTATCTGAATTTCAGTGTTGGTAGGCTGAAGTGTTTTAGCCTATAGCTGCGGTAGTAAGAGGCCTTAAGAATAACACTGAAATAATTTATTCCAATTTTTTTTTGTGTTATGAATGGTCATAAGTGGCTTTGCACATCTTATGCTGTCTCACTTATGTTTTTGTTTGTGTCTTTTGAAAAACTGTGTTTTACTTAATTATAGCTACATTTTATTCTGAATGATAAAGCTCATTTAAACAATTTAAACAACATTATCTGTCTGTCTTTTAAGTAATTTTTAGGTTGATTGCTTGTAATGGTGAGTCTGAAGGTTGGAATGTCGTTGAAGTAAAACGCCTTGTTGACCATCAGGATAACATTTTGTCACTAGTCAGTGTCAATGGTAAGAGTCACTTCATAATGTAACTACTTTTCTTAGTTAGCAGTGGGATATTGCAACTATGGACCAAACTTTTAACTGGAGGGAAACTTCATAGCTAGTAGATGTGCCTTTCTGTGTAGCTGAAACAGTAGTGGAATGTGAAAATATAGTGACTTTATTTATGGATTAACAGTGAAATAAAATCAGGCAGGTTGTGATGTAGAAAGGGTACAAAAGAGGCAATGTCACTGGTGAGAACTCTTCTTCCTGTTGGGAAACTTTAAAATGCATTTTTTTTTTTCTCATTCCTTTTGGTTCTTAAAATGGAATATGCAATGTCACATCCTTTGCAGTTGTAGTCCCAAGGTAACTGAAAGTTCAGGGTGTGCAGATGAGAGCCTGCATATAGATCTATTATTTAGAGGCCCTGGAAGGTGGTGCGATCTCTGCTGCTTGTTAGTGCAATACTGAGCTACTACCTGAAATTCTGTCTACTCTACTACAGCTATAAACCATCTGTACTTTGTTCTTCCCTGTCTTTTTTTGTTTTCATGGAGCGTCCCCAGAGCCCAGGACAAGCTATTTCTGATGTGATAGAGAATGTGTATGCATTGCAGTTATTTCCTCTTTTATGGTTATGAAAGGGAAAACAGTATTGGCCTTAAAAAGACAAAACGCTACCTGTGTTAAGTATTGTTGAAGCAGCTTCTTTCCATGTGTGATTAACAAATTCATGAGCAGCTGCTTCAATCTTGCCATTAACTCGTCCATTTAGTTTTTCATCAGTATTTAAGTTTATGGTGCTGATACCCCTCCTTGTGCAAGGAATAGAAGGGTTTTGTATATAGGCAACAAATAAACTTCAAATACTTGTACATTTGACAGGTTTCCTTGCCTTTGCTATACTGAACTGTGCCCTGTGGCTGGTGGATGTTCTCCTTCTTAGTTTTAATTCTACAAGAGAGAGCTCATCTCCTTTTGCTCATCAGAGCTATGCTATGTAATCAAATCAGTCAAAGGGAGAGATTTTTATCAGTTACATACTGCACATTCTACATAGCTTCACTTGAAAATAGGCTTTTTTAGCTTTTTAGGATTGTAATTTTATGTGAAATGGTTTGTTGGTTTTTGTTTGTTTTTTTTTTTTTAAATATAATGTGATTTGTATGTATGTGTTTTTTTTCCCCTCTAGACTCTACTTTTGTGACAGGTTCTCATGTGGGTGAGTTAATAGTTTGGGATGCACTTGACTGGACAAAGCAGGCATCTGAGTGCAACTTCTGTGACGACTCTGTTCATCCAGATATACAGCCAGAAATAAAGTTATCTCAAAGCCCAAATGAAACTTCAGTTCAACACTTAACATCTGATGAGGAGGTAAAAAGCTTTAAACAGTGAACTACTTCAAATGAGGTGGCATGACCATGACCTTACCACAGGAGGTCAAGTGTTTTGTGTTTTCAGTTTACTTGTTTTAATATGAGAGGTTTATTTAAAATGTGCAAGAAAGGGATTCCTGGAAATGGATTCAAAGACGCAAACTGTAACAAAATAAAAGCTGTGGAAAATCCTGAATGTAGGCTGAGGTCCAAATAGTTACCTGATGCATTTGTCTGTGAAAAGAGCATTCCTGAAACACTGGAGAGAGAAACATTGGTATGTTTGTGTGTCTGTATGTGTGTGAAAGATGTACTTGTCTCTGTGGTTTTATTGTGGGTGCTTTAGTTCTAGAGGGAGCAAAAGCCAGTCCTGTTCAGAAGTTCTGAAATTTGTCTTCAGAACATTCTGAATCCCTGCTTGAAAGCTACATGGATGGGTTTTAAAGGGAGGGGGAAGGAATTTTGGGAAGTTGAGAGGCAGTTAAAACATTGAGTGTGGAATCCAAGGCTGCTGAGGATTTTCTTTCTTTCATGGAAGTGAGCTAAACAAATTGCTGCAGAATATTGTTATGATACTTCTGAATCATCAGAGGAAAAGGTAGTTGTAGCATAATATCCTGAAATAGAAGGTGCTTTTAGTGGAGCTCTCTGTATTGTAAAGTTCCTACATAGGAATACATTTCTTCACCACTTTCTATAATGAATTACTTTGTTACCTGCTACCTAAAAGCAGAACACTTCGTCATATTTAAAAAATAAAATTGGTATTTTCTCTGTTGGGAACTATGTAGGCAGCTTGGTAGTTAAGTAACTGAAGAAGATGTCTAATTTGACACCAAGCTTGTAGGCAAAACATCATCAGAGATAAATGGGATAGTAAAGGTTTGGCAATACTAGGAAACCATGCTAAGGAGTGCACCTGCTGTCCTGATATATGTGTGTGTGTATTTAACTTGCCTGTCAAGCTAGGTGTAAAATTTATGCTTTATGCTTCATCAGGTTTGAAATGACCAGAGTTTTGCTGGGGCTTGTGTTTAAAAAAAAAAAAAGAAGAGTGGTTTGTGAAGAGCGTCTTACAAAGCTGTAAGGACTATATGGAATTCAAGAGCCTGTCCTAAGGCAGAAGACTGTAAGGGAGAAAAGGCTGAGATACTTAAGTGGCAAAGTGGTATGGAAGGCCATTGAATTAAGTGTAGTACAAAACCAGGAAAATAATAATAACGGGCATAATGGTTTTGCTTGATTTAGTAGAGTGCTATTAGAAATCTAAGCTTAGTTTCAGAGCTATTTGAGGTCCCACCACACATGTGCATAAGAAGAAAGAAACCCAACCAAACCCCAACCAAGCAAAAGCCAAAACAATCGTGTCCCCGTCCCCCCCAAAAAAAAACCTAACCCCCCAAAAACCAGCTAAAACTAAAATGCAACAAAAACCTGGACAAAGAGTTTCGAGAAGAGTTTCAAAACATGGTTGAATGCATATTAAGTATATGGAATCTTAGTCAAAGACACTGGGTTACCAGTTTTACAAAATGTTGACTGCTTATGAGGCATTAATGTTTGGGCTGTGTAGATGGAAGCAGGCCATTCAGGGAAGTGATTCAGCCTACTATCACCTAAACACGGTAGATTCAAAATCCAAATATGTACTGAATGGAAGCATTTTGCACTCCTCTGTTTGGTACCAAATATTTGTTGTGTGTACGCACATGCAGTTGTCTAAAATCATTACAAGTCATGAGAGGGTCTGGCTGTTTGTGGCTTCTTAAAGCCATGATGGCTATGAAACAGAATCCCTGCACTTTTTCTGAAGAGCATTGAATGTAAAACGGTTCCAAGTTTTTGCAGTATTGCGTAATACCTTTCTGTGAGAGAATTCCTTTTCTACACTCTAGAACCCAGATGTTTAAGCAAGACCTCTTTTACAGCTTCAGTTAAGTTTAAAAAAAATAAGGCAAAAATGCAGAACAGCTTCCAGTATTCTCAGTCTTTCTTGATAAAACAAGAATTTGTCAAAACACAGAGTATTATTTTAGTGTAATAACATAAACATTTAATTGCAGAAATGTGTTCATGTGTTTCTGCTTAGACTGTAAGGTACAGGATGACAATACAGGAATGAAACAACTGCTTAGAATATAGGAACATGTCTCTCATTTCCTCAAAAAATCAATTTTTTTTTCTGTTACTTGCCGATTCCATACGTTCGGGATAAAGCAGTAACACAAGGACAGAAACAAACTGGATAATGCAGGCCAGATGACATCATAGTACTGCTGGAAATCCATTACACGGAGAGTGATCTTTCAGTGTCTGTTTCTGCAAGTTGTTCCATTGAATTTTCTTTCTAGTGTGTGTTTGCTGCTGTTGGGAAAGGCATATACGTATATAATCTTCAAATGAAGCGTGTGATTGCCTGCCAAAAAACTGCTCACGACTCTTCTGTACTGCACATTGCGAAGATTCCAAACAGGTACAAGTCATGGTACATTTTGTTAATGCAGTAAAGAAATGCAGAACTTGGAAGGGTGGCTAGAGTCAGTCTGCAAAGCTACATCTAATTTCTGGGGCAGGGACATGATCTTTAGTTTGATCTGCCTATATTAGATGGAGCTTGTTGTTCTGATTTTTGAAAATACAACATGGTAATTCAGTGTGAAAAAACTACAGTATGCTTAATTCACAGGCTTAGATTTAAATGACTGTTTTCAAAATTAGACCTGATAAAGCACTTTTGTCTACACTGAGAAAATATAGCTCAATAGCATTTTACTTCTATAAAGCAAAGGCCTATGGCTGTTCAGTAAATATTTTTCACTAAATATTTTGTAACAGTTGAAATTCGTTTAAACAAAAAATAGTAATAACTTCCAGCGATTGTCCAGTTGAATTTCCAGATGTAACTTATTTTGACAGCCAAGTTGGACATTTTGCTACTTTATATGTATCCCATAGTTGTGTTGTTAGATCCCTTATACTCTTCTTCAATGAAGAAGAAGCCTGTCAGAAAATAAAAATTAGGGCCTTGCAAATGCATGTGCTGTTCTAAACTGTTCTAAATATGTAATGAAGAGAAGTATGTTTCTTTTTGTTATTTTCCCATAAGAAAAAAAGTTTGTTCTTAATGAAAGTAAGCTTATGGAAGGCATTAGTGGAACTGTGTTTGCATAGTCTAGACTTGTTATTTTATGTTTTACAGAGTGCTATGATTTTAAAATGGGATTGAAAATTTGTAATTTTTTTCCACCTATTTTGCACCTGATAAAAACGCACCTTGTTTTGTATAAAACACCTGGATGTCCTGCTACATTTGAGAGTTCTAGCAAACTTGTGTAGACCCTGAGGCACTTGCTATTTCTTCTATAGAAACATCACAAGGTGACTTGTGCAGATAAGTATCCATGCTAGTCTTGCTTAACAACTGCTTTTACAGGCAGCTGATCTCCTGTTCAGAAGATGGCAGTGTGCGCATTTGGGAGCTCCGAGAAAAGCAGCAGCTGCCAGCTGAAGTGGTTCCAACAGGTTTGCATATAGTGCGGGGTAAAAAGAACATTTAAAAAGGATACTGGGAAAGCTGATGTTCACCATACAGTAGTAGAGAGGCTTACAGGCTTTGTAAGAAGAGATAATGTCTTGTATTCAACCAACTGGTAATAGATGTGGGTGGGAAACTGAAGAAGACAGGTGTACAAGCCTTCCAAGATCTTATACAGAAAGCTAGAAAGTCCAGCTGAAGCAGTTCTGTGCCATAAAGTTTATTTAGACTTTACAGTTGTATCAGCTGATTAAACAAAAATTATGACCTCTCCTTGCAAACCTTCATCCACTTCTTGCCCTGAATTGTGCTGGATCCTCTTCCATGCAGGGGTAAATAGTTGCAGGACCTTGTGAAGAAAGCCAAAGAGAAGCTTGCAGATGAGCAGCTGGCACTGAAAAATGTGTTTTCCACATCTCCTTCTTGAACTTGGAATTACACTGGGACTTACTTTGAGCTGTATCTAACATCGTTTACATGCTAACTCTGGGCATCCCGGTTCTCAGGGCTAGTTGCAGGTATTTTAGGAAGTGTTTTCTGCCAAGTACAGACACTGCCTGGGTAGTGCTTGCTGTAATTTGACCAGGTCAGCAGCTTCCCTGTGCTCTAATAGCTGTGGTCTTGGACTGGTGCTCTGGAAAATATAGTTAGTATCGTAGACTGGGAACAGTAGTGCGCTGTTAATCTCTCTTGTAGGACTTTTTTTTAATCCAAGCTGTGAATAATTTTCTTGGTGTATCTTGTCTACCTGGCTGCTTTTTAAATTTTTATTTCATTTTTTTAAAATACTGGTTTGTTACCTGGGTTGATTTAGGAAGACTTTTTCAGGAACCTTCTCTCTTCAGTATTGCCGGTGACAGCTAATGTACAGTTTTGTTTCTTGTTGTGACAAGTGGTGTTTGGTTTCACATTGGAAATTTACAATGTCTGTGATTGGAGGCATTTGAGAAAAACATACGTAACGGTAAGATAGGTGGACTGCTGTTGATTCGCTCTATTTTTATATTCTAAGAATCCCTTGAGTAGTTGTTCAGTTCTCCCGTTATCTCCCTTGCACCGGGGCCGTGGTCTGGCATGTGTTTTGTGTGCTGATGGGGCCGAGGGAAGGATCAGCAGGAAAGTCTGATATGCACTGTATTCAGAACCCAACTTTCTTACTTCTGCCAGTATTATTCCACAGTTCTCCTAGGAGCTGTGGCACAGATGTATATTTTCTTGCTATCTAAATGGAACATGTGGAGTACAATATGTACACTCCAGTTTAGCTGATAGTTTTAAGTCTGAGGGAGAAAGCTAGTGGGCACTGTAAAAACAGGCAATTCAGGATCAGAAACTCGCTTGTTTATGTTGTAATGCCAGCACTCTAATGCTTCAGTGCAGGACACACGGGGAGAGACTGGCACCTCATTTCTCTCCTCTTTTTATAAAAGTGACAGTTTAGGAGGACAAAGATAGAACAAAGGTAAACATCACTGAGCTGCGTCTGCCTTTGCTGTTCAGCTAATTAATTGTGGCAGTCCTTGGTTTTCTTGTTAAATCCATCTGTTATCTCATCCAGGTGAGTAATTCAGCATGTTTGCTAAATTAAATCTACCTAGGACAAAAGACAAACTAGCTATGTTTCTTTGCCCTATCAAGGTGAATAATCCAGATAGAAAAGCATGGTGTGGGACAACGATTCTGTCATTTTGCCATGCCGACCATCCTGCTTTTAGATTTAAGTGACTCCTGTAGTTCTTTCTTTAGCTAGAGGGGAAAAAAAAATAATATTTCATTTTTGCTATTATCTCTGCTGTCCCCCGCTCCAGGGTTTTTCAACATGTGGGGATTTGGAAGGGCAAACAAGCAGGCAAACCAGGCTGCTAAGAAGATGCAGGAAAATACACCCGTATATTTCTTGGAGCTCGTTGGTGATTTGATTGGTCATTCATCAGCTGTGCAGGTAGGTGAATTTTAGTAAGAACAAGAAAAAGTGAGTATCACTTACTGATGTAATTTGGCAGTGTTTCTTAAAGAACTGTAACTTCTGACTGGCTCTGAAGGTTGGGAACACATCAGTTGTGTAGGACATTTAGTGCAGTGTGACAACAATAATACATACTGAATTAAAGTTCTAATGAGAACTCAAACACTCACCGATGCCCAAAGATTGTGTGTGCAGATTTATCCATACATGTAGGGTCTTTGGTTTCTTAATGGACTGCAAAACATACAGCTGGGAACTGTGTGTTTGCTCCAGATTTCATCTTAATTTTGCAGTCTTCACAAGGACTCATGGAAAACAATCAGGAATTTTGTAGCCCTCTGTGCTGTGAGTCTTAACTGGTATCGGGTACTGTTCTGTGCCTGTCTGCCTAATAAATTACGTTTTTGTTTTAAATGGCATTTTCTCTCAATGCTTTTTTTGTGTTTGACAAACCTATTGGAGTAACAAATCACTTTCTTATTGTGGACTTTTATACACATTCTTGGCAAGAGCAGGGAGAAGGGCAGGTAGGGGAATAGTGTGGTTCTGGAGTAGTTCTTCTCACAAATATTCATGAGGTTGACTGGATTTCAGAACTGCTACTTCCAAGAGCTGAAAGCTTTTCAGTAATAGCTAAGGTGAACCTTTCTGCTACAGGGATTTCTGCAAGGTTTTCTGCCCTTCTCTACCAGCTTCCTGAAAAACTGCTGAAAGAAGCCCTTATATCAGTAAGAAAAGTTGCCATTGGAGAAAGAGGACATACTGTGTAATTCAGCAAGAGCCATAGTAAAGAAGGCACATGTGGGTCTTTGCTGGGATACTGCAGGGTCACAGAGTAACAGAGATAATGGTGGGTATGATTTCCTGCAATGTTCTACATATGGAAAATTCCATTTTTAAATTCTGGACAGGCTGGAGGCTGGAAATGTTGAGTAGTGATGAAATGTGATTGTCAAAGATGTGGGTTTGGACAGACTATTCTACTGGAACTTCATAGCTAGTAAGTGGCTACTGCCAGAGCTGGTAGGCTGTAGCACAGTCCTTGGCCTGAATGCTCCCCTGGGCAGATCCCTTCATAAGCCAAAGAGTCAGGACACTGCAAACATGCCATAGTGGTATTAATGACCTGGATCCATTGGCTGTTGAACTGTGGTTAGTGGCTAATTTGAGGCAGCCTTCTGGAGGGCTCTGAAGACAGGGATGACTACATGACTTGTCAGCTCCATTGCTCTTGCAAAATCCCTCCACTGCAGCTGTATGCTGTATGTTCTGATTTCTGTCACAATTGTTTACTCTGTGATCCTTCCAGTCCTGGTGATGGTAGCCCATGGTGTTGCGTGGGAAGGGGACAGTGTACGCAAGAGAACAGGATAGTGGCTTCTATTCCTAAGAAACCAGGCGATCAGAGTTCATGCAAGTCACTCACTTCACTGCTGCTGACTTGGAACAAGTTTCTTCAATATTCTGTACCATAGCTTTCCTATCTGTAAGGCTTTACTGGTTTTTCTAAACTGAGATCTTTCAGTGTGAAGTGCCATTAAGGAATTGTTTTCATGTGGGGATTTTATGATATCTCAAACATACAGAAAGTATGCATTGTAATTTTGCATATTTATGTTCAAGCAAAATGTCTATTTGTTTAGTCCAGTTGTACACCAGACATCTAATCAAGCTGACAGTCTCCTGTGAGCATCATGGTAATAGTAATTGTCTCATTGCAGATGTTCCTGTACTTTGGTGAACTGGGACTGGCTACGTGCTCTGCTGACCACCTCATCATTTTGTGGAAGGATGGTGAACGAGAATCTAGACTTCGCAGTTTAACACTGTTTCAAAAATTAGCGCAAAATGGTGTTCTGCAGCTCAAATTTTAAATTGGGTACAGGCTATGTATGTGTAAACTGGGTGCGTGTTAAGTGTGAGTGTGAAGGAAAGTCTGAACTACTTGGAATAACTACCAGTAACTACCAGTAATATCATTTATTATATTAGAGTTATTGTTAGTTGCTGCTACTCTTCTCAAAGGAGAATTTTGCATGTTGAAACTTATTTTGCTTACTCTGTCAGGAGAAATGGTGTTCTGTTGAAACACTGAAGATAATGCTAGTTTCTAATATTATTCCTAATGTTTAAAAATATCATGGTCAGATTTCAAAACTAAGATTTGTGAAAGTCCTTAAATGGATCAAAAGTAAAGCAGCTGGGGGCATTCCGCAGTTTTATGTGCAGAAAGGAAGCATATTAAAAAACACCGAGTCTTCCTGCTTGATGTAACATATTTCTTGAAGCTAAACTTCAGTCAGTTATGGCTGAGATATGTACCTAGAGAAAAACCCCAAAGAAACAGTTCTGAGATAGAATTCTTCCATTTTAAGTTGTTATCCTGCACTAACGGTAAGTGCAAGAAAGAAAATTAGGTAATACTGGTTTGTCAGGTTTTAATTTTTTGGCAAAGCTACTCCTAAATTGCAGTAGCTGCCATTTTACTGTGGGTTAACCTACACTACTGGATTTTATGTAGCACCATTATCATGTTTAGCATGAAGTTTCATTGGCTTAGCTTAGTCTTTCCACAAAACATTCATCAAATTAATTTGTATCTAATAAAAAGCACCAGTGTTACCATGGATTTTCAGGATGTAAAATACTTTCTTAAGCAGTAGCAGTCGATGTGTTCAGTATTAGCAAAACATTTCTGCCAGAGGAATTTTAAATTCTCAGCTGAAGTTTGCAGAGAAATCTGCACCAAGTTTGTAAGTATAAGTAGTATTTTAGAGTTTAAAAATAAAAAGCATCTAAGTAAGTACACAATGCCTTTTTCGAGTCTGAGACAGCATTAGTAATCTGAAAACTAAACAGGAGTGGGGAAAAAGTTCCAAACTAAAGAACCCCAAACCAAAGCAACAAAACCCCAAAAGCACAAACCCCTCCCCCCCCCCCCCCCCTCCTCCCCCAGCTGATACAAAGAAAGTGAGAGGATGATATAATGAGTGGTAAGTTACCATTTGAGCTAGGGAAGGGGGGAATTGGGGAGCTTAGTGGTCATAAAGCTATGAGAAGAGGGTGCTTGAGTCTACTCAGAAGATCCAGCACTTAAACATCTTAGGAATAAGTCACTTGCAGTGTATCAGTTGAAAACATGATAAGCTTATGTTCTCAACAGTGAAAACCATGAGAACAAGTATTTAATTTTTATGTGACTGCTTTTGAGTGAATATCTGGTAGAGAAACAGAGCTGTTCAGCTATTCACTCTGATATATCACCTGCTACAAGCTCAGGAGTGTTGCATCCCAACTAGAAGGAAGTGCAGCAGGAGGGCCAGGAGACCCCCTTGGATGGATAAGCAGCTCCTGAGGAAAATTCAAATGAAAAAAGAGGCTTATAATAAGTGGAAGCAAGGACAGGCAGCCTGGGAAGAGTACACGGATGTTGTCCGGGAAGCTAGGGACCAGGTTAGGAAAGCTAAGGCCCAGTTAGAATTAAACTTGGCTAGGGTTATAACAGGAAGGGATTCTACAAGTACATAGCAAATAAAAAACAGACAAGGGAGAACCTAGGCCCTGTCAGGAAGCTCTCAGGAGAGCTGGCTACACAGGATTTAGAGAAGGCTGAGGTTCTGAATGACTTCTTTGCCTTGGTCTTCACTGGCAAAGGCTCTGAGCACACCACCCAAGACTTAGAAGGCAGACGCGGGGACTGTGAGAATGAAGACCTTGGGCCCACTGTAGGAGAGGATCTGGTTCGAGACCATCTTAAAAATCTGAACGTGCACAAGTCCATGGGACCTGATGAAATCCATCCACGGGTCCTGAAGGAGCTGACGAATGAAGTTGCTAAGCCACTGGCCATCATATTTGAGAAATCATGGCAGTCAGGTGAAATCCCGATGACTGGAAAAAGGGAAATATAACCCCCATTTTCAAGAAGGGGAAAATGGATGACCCGGGGAATTACAGACCAGTCAGTCTCACCTCTGTGCCTGGCAAAATCTTGGAGCAGATTCTCCTGGAAGGCATGCTAAGGCACATGAAAATCAACAAGGTGCTTGGTGACAGCCAGCATGGCTTCAGTAAGGGGAAATCCTGCCTGACCAATTTGGTGAGAGACCTCATAGCAGCCTTCCAGTATCTGAAGGGGGCCTATAGAGATGCTGAGGAGGGACTCTTCATTAGGGACTGTAGTGATAGGACAAGGGTTAACGGGTTAAAACTTAAAACAGGGGAAGTTTAGACTGGATATAAGGAGGAAATTCTTTCCTGTTAGGGTGATGAGGCACTGGAATAGGTTGCTATTCCAGTGAATGCTCCATCCCTGACAGTGTTCAGTACCAGGTTGGACGAAGCCTTGGGTGAGATGGTTTAGTGTGAGGTGTCCCTGCCCATGGCAGGGGGGTTGGAACTAGATGATGTTAAGGTCCTTTCCAACCCTAACTATTCTATGATTCTATGATTCTATTTAACTGAACAATTCTAGTCAAAAAACTCGCTGTGTATTTTACAGGGGTGTAATTCAGCCTTAAATGGTCCTACATGCACATGTAAGTATTTCTATCAAAAGTGCCATTGTTCTCAGATAATGCTCTATTGGTAATAGAGCTCCCACAGGTCTTTTCCTTTAAATGTGGTTGAACTGAAAGTATTACATTGAGTTCTTTCTTTTACAGGTGAACTTTGAGCATAGCAGTGAGGCTATAGTAGCCCACTCCTGTTAAATAAAAGTTTGTCACTTGCTGTTGGAAAGTCTAGTGAGCAGAATTTGGGTAACCAGATTAGAAATTTTACTTCCGCTTTGTCCTTTTAAATTTCTTTTTCCACATCTCAGCAATGCAGAATTCCATGTTCACCTCACAGAGTTAACCAGCAGACCTGCTCTTAATACTTCTGTAACTCTGACGCAGCTGTTAATCAACTGGACAGGTCAGAGTCTAGGAGATCTGACACAACTGGCAGATGACAGTTACTCTTGCTGATTTCTTTTGCTCTTAAAAAGAACATACTGCCACATAGATTACTTTTTTATTTAGGCCTCTGTCTGTGGGAAGAAACACAGGTTCTTGCAACAAATATACTGATCACACATCAATGCCTTAACTTGTGAACCAGAACTGAGGCTGAATTTTATTTCTTAGGTTCCTTCCACCATTGCCATTTTCTTCCTTGTGACAGAAGTGTGACAAAAAAAATGAATGTTTTACATGGGTGTGGTTTTACAGTGTTGCTATGTTTAACAAATCAAGATAACAAAGCTTTAAATCTTCTGAAATCCTTTCCTCTAATGCAAGCTGCAGTGAGCATTTAGTCATCAGAATACTTAAGATACAGCCACCGAGAACACTAGTTCTAAACAAAGGAATGGTAAAAGCAAACAGTTACAATATAAAAACCAGATTCAATTTACGTGACTAAAAATTCATTGAGGAATGTTGCAATAGATAATAATAAAGAATGAATAAACATACTTCACCAGAAACACCATTCTTCAGATATACACAATGCAGCATTTTAATACACAGCGACCTGCCTTAGCTATGACAAAAGTAAGGGTCTGTTACAGTTCTAACAAAAATATAGCTTATATACATTTATCTGCACTTACATTTTATGAATGTTTCCTTTTGTTTCAGAACTTGGTACAAAACATACAAAAAAGGTTGGCACATTATGTAAGCTACCTGCAGTAGACAGCAGTCATTGTCACTTCTACAGCGATCTAAACTCTATGTGTTTGGTTTTGGTTGTTTGGGTTTTTTTTTTCACCTTTACTAGATTCAATTTATGATACAGATACAGCGTAGGAAAGGTAAAGAGTATGTCTCAAGACCTTTCCATTTAAGGAGTAGTGGACTGCTTCTTCAACTGCAGCCACAGCTTTGAAGCTCTTGCCTGCAGCCTGGAGTGCAGGTGTTAAAAATCAGCAGTTCAGCTAGTATTTATTAACTGAATAGTCTGAGAGTAGTCTAAAATTTAAACTCATGTTCTGTGAAGGGTTAAAATGAGATGTACAAAAATACACATTTATGCTTTGGAAGCATAAGCATAAATTTTGTATCTTAAAACTAATGAAAAACTATGTTTGATTTCTAACTTATTTACATATTTTGAAATACTTTTTACCTCACAAAACAAACCAACATTTTAGTATGGGGAAAAAGCAGTACAAATTATAATGCTGTTACAAATTGTAACCTGGAAACCTCTTTTAAAAAGCAACAGGTTCATCCTAGGAGTAAGTAGCATACATGGGCTTACCATAAAATTTAGATCAGTTTAATAAAATTGATGATGTGTATAAACACCACTTTATAGAAAAGGATGTTGACCAAGTGCCACAATGTTATTTGTGTAAAATTTGATGAAACATCTCATGTTAACATCTCTTAAGATGGCAGAGAAGCATGTGGATGGCACCAATTTTATAGAACATCTGTGACTAATTTTAAGGGAATTTGACTGCTACCAGGATTTTATATGGAAAAGAAAGAACAGTGGTGCTCTAAGAGAAAGTCTGTATAATAAGGAGGTTATGTTAAATGGTGCAGGGTTTGTGTTTTACTGTGTCCTGTTTATCAAGGTTACTTGTTCTACTGTGCACGTTCTCTTCTAGAACTGTTCTTCAGCTCTCTAAACCGTATCAACAGAATTGGAGAAAGCTTACGCTAGATAAGTGGGAAGTTTTTATGCTTATTTGTCAACCTATTCTTACTCTACTGGTGACGAGATTACCCCTCTGAGAAACAGCTGTATGAAGTGTTAGTGAATACAGTTGTATCAATTACAAGATTTGATAGATGTATATTCAGTATTAGAAATCAGAAGTAAATCTTTTGCCACAAAATGTTATTTCCAAAGAGCACTTATTAATCTGTGGGTTATGTAGCCTTCTTGAAAACGTTTTTCTTCAGGATTCAGAGAAGCTTAGAAGTGAGTGAATAAAGTATTTCCTTCTTGCCACAAAGTCTCAATTTCACTGGAAAGGTAACACCACCCCTCTTGTATCCACGTCTGTAAGTGATTCACAGTGAAACTGGTAGATCAAGAGGTCTGGTTTTCTTGGTTTAGTGTCAGTTGTTGTTTTCTGATGGGAGCCTGACACTCTTGCACTTTAATTCATCCAGTGTTTTCCAGTGTTTGTAGTTATTAGTCAAGTGTTGCATCAAAACAGGCAGATGTGCAAATGCTGAAATGAATAGGAGGATCAGTTGTACTATGTGCAGAACAAGCAGAAGAACAGCACAACCTAATCTGAAATCAGCATTCTCCTACTTTTTCCTTCAGCTGTAAGCTAATGCTAAAAGAGGAAAGATCTTTTCAGTCTGTTTCTTTCTCAAGCAACTCACTTTCTTAATGTATGATGACTTCTTTAAATTGTGCTAACACACAACCACTGTGGCCTCAAGTTTCTGCTGCTCAGAAGAAATACAATGCTAAAGGAAAAAAAAACCCTAAGCATTCTAGATGAAAAAAAGCTTAGTTTAAATCCATTACTCCTTTACATAGATTGTCTGGTAAGTGTTCAACTTTCATAACGTGTGTTGTGTGCAGTGCACTGGGTTTAACCAGCATCATTGCTTAGCTCTTCTCGTGTACTACTTATATATGGGTACTGTCCCTGGAAAAAACTGACTCAAGGCCAGCTTGTTTGGTTTAGTCTGTTGAATTCTCTGTCTCGGAGCAAGGAAACAAAAAGCAGAAGTACTTACCATCCCATGCATCGAACATATCTGTTATAAAATAATCAATGAAGGAAATTTGAGACTTGGGGATGCTGCAGGTGTTTCTATCAAATACTGGCATTACAACAGGCAGACCCTGTCTCTTCTCTTCATCAGTCTAAGAAAACAAAACTCCAGTTAGCCCCTAGAACTTTGCTGGCTTTAATGCTGGAGCAGCAAAAGCCAGGGGATTAGATGAATTGCAGTAGGAGATTTGAGTCACACCCTAGAACCCCTGAGGTGACCTGCCTTCATTTCATGTGCTTTATTTTGTCCCAACAGGGACTGAAATCAACATCTCTTCGCTCTGTTACTCTCCTGCTGTGATTGCTTTTAGCTCTAGTATGACAGAATGCTCAGCTCTGGTGGTTAGGGCACATCAGCTAAAAACGGGAAGTGGGGTTGCGGCATTCTTTAGCAGAGGGCTGTTTTGATCACACAAAGGTTGAGGTTGGAAGGGACCACTGGGGGTGACCTAGTCCAACTTCCCTGCTTAAGCAGGGACAGCCAGAGCACATTACTCAGGACTGTCTCCAGACAGCTCTTGAATGCCTCCAGGGGAGGAGACTACACAGCCTCTCCAGGCAGCCTATTTCAGTGCTCAGTCACCCTCACAGTAAAAAAGTTTTTCCTTGGGTAGAACACCCTGTATTTTAGTTTATGCCCATTGCTTCTTGTCATACCGTCTGGCACCACCAAGAAGCATCTGGACCCATCCTCTTGACACCTTCCCAGGGATCTCCTTTTTTACCACATCTCTAACGTCTGTTTCAAACCATTTGTCTTTTAAGAGGAATGTTGCTGTTGCTACTTTCTCTGTGTTAGGTTATAAGATGAATAGAAGTAAGTGTATGCCCTTTAACTCTGTGGCCACAACTGAAAGAGGGATAAGAATCTCTCAGTTGTTCAACTAAAGATCTGGTAGAGCGTTTCAGGAAACTGGTGCATTTGTGCACCAGTAGAAAAACTGATTATTGAGAAAGGAAGTTGAGCTTCCATTGCTGTCCAGAGAGATCCCATTTATTAAGTTTACACTGCCCATATGTCTGCAGTACTGGCCTACCACATCGTCTGCCTACTGTGACGGTAGTTCAGGTGCCATCCTAGAAGAGAAAGGACCAGCCTGATGGCTCAGCGGAGGGCTTCATCAAGCAGGATCTTCATGCTCTCTTCAGGGAAGGTATTGGGACTAGAATGTTGACAATCTTGAATTTCAGCCAGTTAAATTGACCAAGGCTAATCAAATAGTTTTTGTTTAGCCAGATGGAGAAAGTATAAAAGTTCCTTTTCACCATTTTGTACTGCAAACTTTGTGGTAAGTAAACTAGCTAAGTTTGACTAGAGTGAATTCTTCTGTATGAAACTGAAGGTCTGGGGACAAAAAAGCATACATCTGGATCCATAGTGATGCCAGGCAGACCCCATGTGGAACAGAAGACCTGTTCATGTGTGCTTTTTTACCTAACCCATTAGTCATTATAAAAATACACATACCTGTGCAAAATACTCCTCTGAAATCCTCCCTGCCCATTCGATACACAGCTCTAGGGGGCGACACGGATTTGCTACGTCTGCACATTTAATCATCATACGCTTGATCAGTGTCTGGTTATCTGGAAAATTCTTTATATTGGCTGTACATTCACAGTCACTGCCTTCACTCTGTAAAAGAGAGTTGGTTTCAGGAGTCAGTGGCCAGTATCCCTGGCAGCAGGAGCAGGGCATCATTATCAGTTCCTACCATTGCACTTGTAGGCAGTAAGCAGACATGCTGCCTGAAGCCTTCTAATTTCATACAGAGCACCAGGAATTTGGAGGAACTGCGAAGGAGAACGGCAGCCTTGCTAAGTAACTAATTAAAGTCCCATTACACATGACAGTTGTGGAGATTTTCATGATTAATAGCAAAGTCTGTGAAATAAAACAATCACAGGCTCCTAATTGGGTAGAGTGAGTTACCCTTCTATGCATCCCACCCTTGCCGTCTTGGAACAGGACCAGGACGGGACGCATCCACCAACTGTGATGTGATAAATGGTCCTCCTCGCTGAGCTGTTTAGATTTAGGGATGGTGATAGTAGTGGCTGCTTCATTTTTTTGGTCTTAGTTATCAGCTAGGATGAGGTTTTAGATAATCTTTGAAATTAACAGTAGGAAAACGCAGGAGTGGCAGACTAACTGTGGGGAGTCCCTGCTTTCTAGGCAGTAAAATACTTAAACTGCTTATCGACTGCTCTTGAGAATGGGTGAAGGGACAGAGTAGTGGTTACAAGTCTGCTATAGCATCATCTTCTGCGTCTTGAACAATTTAGAAGGGCACAGGTATATTACGTTCCTTATTGAGTAATAAAAAGCCTCTACCTCAGCTCACTATGGTATTAACACTGTTCTCAAAATAATGTGTAGTTATAGCCCCTCTTCACTGCAGTTTCAACTGGAGTAAAATCCCGAGCATAAATACTTTTTACCCTCATGGCTAAATTAACCTCTTTGTGGTTTATGGGGAGATATTTTGCAGTGACTCTTGCCAATTCAGACTTTAATCTTCTAACGTCATGTTTAACAGTTAATTTATTTTCTTTTCAGCATGCTGAAAAAGATGCCAAATTAACGCTGCTCCTTAGCTGCTAACCAAAAGTAGGAAAGAGCCACCATTAACCATGAGGAACAGAACAACCTATTATCAGGGAAAAAAAATCAAGCCTGCAATACAAGTGTTTCTGTGCTCCACTTTTATTGCCCTCCAATTCTTGTACATTTTGAAACAGACTCTGCTATAAACTGGTAAGATGAAAGAGAATGAGTAAAAAAAAAGTATTTAAGAACAGCTCTTTAGGAAGTGCTGGAACAAATGCATTCATGGTATAAAAGCAAGATTCCCAGAAATATGTTCAGAGCTTGGAAACACGTGGTTTCAGTGAGGCTTGTGAATCTAAGTCCCACAGGCCAGTGTGGGGGTACCAGAAAACTAAAGACATTTTAAAGGGGTGTAGATTGAGGAGACATTTCAGAATAATTCTTAAACTGTCAGAGGGAGAAATGAAGCACTGTGAGAAGCCACATTTCCCAGTGACGCTTCAGGTGCCTTTTTTAGAAACCAGTGGAAAAACTTGCTATCTGGTCACCGCGTAACTACAGAGAAATCTGAGTAGTATTTCCACTAATGTGGACCCTCCTTTCCTCTGGGCCTTGATCTAAAGTGGGATCCTCGCTGTCCTGGCTTAGTCCATGCCTGGAGGGCAAACCCATGAAACACAGCACCAGGTGATGTGCTGGGAGCGCCATGCAGAAACAGTGATAGGTGCCGTCAGCAGTGCCCAAAGCATGTCCCCTGTGCTGTGGGACTTGTGACACTGAAGATGATCAGGCTAATTCAGACCCAGTGCCACATCCAGTGAGGCCTCCAGAGACTGGAAGCGCTGGGACATACAGTGCAATGTATCCACAGAATCCGTGAAGTTCAGCTGTATTTGTGATTTCCAGCTCAAACTGCTGGGCGAACAGAGCTCAGCAATCCCTAGAAGCAGGTCAGTTAACTGATGCAATGCTGTCTCCAAAGTTGTAAACACTGACTGGTTTCTGCACCCATGACAATCTATGGAGCGAGAATCTGCATGACATGACAACCTTCAGTGCAAAAAGTCTAGTTATGGAGAACTGACAGAAGCTACTTTTATTTATTTTTAATACCAGTGACCTTCAATTTGGTCTTTTTTTTTTTTTTCAGTCTTTCTAAGCATTGTTTTCGCTAAGCTGTGATAAGATGGTATTTGCTTAGGTGAGTAACAGTGCCTTGGAGAGCACTCCAGGCACTCAGCACTCAACTGCAAGTGGCAACAAGAGAAGATCAAGAGGGGCCTGGGCTGGGAAACCTGGAAGCATCTTATGAAAGGTACCCTGGCTGGTGATGGAGCATGAGGGTGTATAACTGATGGGAATAAAGATTTGGCCATTTCTTGGTACAGTGAGGAATGGGGATGGGGTGAAGAGCTTGAGGGCTCCAGATTACACTGACACAAAACTGCCAGGGCAGATTCCTGAGTTGCAAGCCTGGGTTTAGGCAATCCCACTGTTTGGAGGCAGGACCACAGGCTCAAGGACAAATCTGGTGCCATGTGCAGAATTTTGCATGAACAAAAGAACCCACCCACAGGTTTTCTGAACACAAGATGGCTTTTGAAGGAAAGGCTTGTAAAATGAAGTGTTTAAATGAGCTAAGGGCAGAGCCAGACATAGAAAAGAAAACAGCAAAGTATTTTTTCACAGTTTGAGATGTGAGGTCACCAACCCAGCTGCGTCTTTTGGCCACTACCACAGTGCAAATTAATACAACATGAATGAAAACAACACTTAAAGTTCTCTCTGAAGAACTTCACTGAAATGCCTGAAGGCATGAAGACCTGCAGCACTTACGTGTGAACTGGTCTCCTCAGATGCCATTGGCTTGTTGATACTGTTCACAAATTTGTTCACATGCTCGAAGTGCTTCGTCATCTCCGTGGCCAGAACCATATCAATAATGGCCTGGCGCAATGTCCGGTAGCGATTTCTGGGGAAGAGAAAAGAGTTCCTGCTTGCAAGCCTGACAGACAGAGCTCCATCCTTTCTCATCCCTGCCCAGACTGCACTGCAGAATGCTGCTTGGGAAGAGCAGCACTGGAGGAATGGGCTGTATCATGCTCCTATGGCTTCCTCCAGCTCTGAATTCCCGTATTACCTAGGTTTTTTTGGTTGGTTGGTTTTGGTTTGTTTGGGTTTTTGTTTGTTCTGTTATTTTTACCTAATGAAAAGCAATCCCCTGGAGTCAATAAAAATTTACAGCTCAATTTCATAATTGTAACACTGTAACGCTAAGACAACTCCCCCAGGAATGGCACCAACACATTTCCATCTCACTCTATGTTAGCTTGGAATCAAATCTCAGGTTTTTCAAAACCCAGAAGTGTTATAAGGTGCAGACAAATTCATCACCTTCCTGAGGTCAGGCCCCGTCACCTTTCACATTCCTTTCTCTTACACATCACTTTCTCTCCACCCTGTCCCTGCAAAAGCTAGGCTGATGCAATGGGAACTCCCAGGCTATGTGGGAGTTCCCATACAGCAACAGCACAGGGTGTTTCCAACACACCAGCAACAGGGTGTTTCCAACTCTCCCAGAGGTTTCAGCTCCTTCCACTTACCCCCCTTTCTGTCCCATGTGAATGCGGCAGTGCCAGCAAGCATAGGGCCACACGCAGGCACATCTAGCTGCTTTGAAAAATCATGTTTACATGGGATTCTGGAAGAGGTAAAATATTGATGTCTTTATCTAAATCATATTCCTGGTTTAGAAGGTAGGCTCTCAATCCACCTCAAACTAAAATCACCAAAGAAGCAACTCACACACACACACTCCCCTTTCTCCAGCAGACCCACCTATCAATGTTCTTGAAAATGTTGCATTTGCTGTCTTTAATTGTAAGCTGAAATGCCAGTGCTGTGTGATGACTCTCTAATACAGCTGTATCATTGTAAAGGACAGCTAATTCACTGCCCGCATTGCACAGGAAAGAGTTGGTCCGCCCGGGGTGGTCTACATCATGAATGGTGGCAGCTATTAGTGCAGCTACTTCATCTAAGTGGTCAAGACTTCCCTACAAGAAGAGAGAAAAATTATGATGTGGCACAAAAATTAAAGTAAATAACTTCTGATCATTTCCCGGTACCCACAAACACACAAGTGTAAGCTTGACTGCAGGGATTATAATTCTTTACACTTATTTTCCATGCACTCTGCCCACAGGTTACCTACTCCAAAACCCTCCCCCCCAAGTTACCAAACCCTTTTTTCCTTAACAAAACTTTTTACTGTGCTGTCACCTCAACCATATCTTTGCATTAAAATTCTCTAATGGTGGATGGATTATCTAATGGTGTTGTTCTACTTCGTGTGCTAGCCTGAATGCTTCTGTATTGACTCTGCTCCTATACAGCTCGTGTATTTTAGGGTAGGAGAGGATGTGATATTTCAGTTGGAAGGGACCTAAAATGATCAGGCAAGTCCAACTTCATGACCACTTCAGGGCTAAACAAAAGTTACAGGATGTTATAAAGGGCATTGCCCAAACGCCCCTTAAACACCAGCAGGCTTGGGCATTGACCACCTCTCTAGAAAGCCTGTTCCAGGGTTTGACCACCCTCTTAGTAAAGAAATGCTTCCTAATGTCCACTCTAAACCTCTCCTGGTGCAGCTTTGAACCATTCCCATGCATCCTGTCATTGGACCCCAGGGAGAAGATCTCAGCACCTCCTTCTCCAAAGCTTTTACAAAGCCTTGTTAAGAGCTGTTAGTAACAACCATTTACCAGGTGACAGAAAAGAGACAGGTATCCCCTCTATTCCTGCTACTTAAAAATGCAAATTCCTTACTCATATAGACTTTAGATAAACTGTGTGGGCAGTTTATCTAAAGATTAACAGGAATACTTCAGGGGCAGAGAGATTTTATGAAGTCAGGACCATTATTAAAGAAAACAACTGACTTTTGAATGACAGACATATGATGGCAAACACACTGAGACACACCTTGACTCTCTCCTTCCTGAGAAAGAAGGCGGTAGCATGCAGGACATCTGCTGCATGCGTGGAGTTGTGGTATGAGTTGGAGGAGTGGTAGTTAGCTTCAATCATTTGCAGCCACGCTCGCAGTGTTCCTTCTGAACAGTTTAAAAACTCAGAAACCCCAAACCGGGCAAAAATCTTTAAGCCCAAATACACTAACGGCCTGCAAAACAATAGAATTAAAAAGCACTGCTGTAAAACAGGACCTTCTGATGTTCTAAAGAGAGAGTTTTGGTAAAGGAACCAGTAAGACCTTATATATGAAAGTTGGAGGGGAATGGTAAACAGTTTTAAATTGCACACCTACAACCTCTCACAAGCCTGACCAAGGTTACAAATCACTATATCTACTATCCTTTCAGACACCCTTTCAGTAGAAAGGCCACTGTTCCACTAGAGTTTCACCAATCCTTCTGGCTTCAGAAAAAAATTTAAACACTCATATTTTTCCTGAGGAGAAAAAAGCAGACTTTGAACATGACGCAGGCACATCCCAAAAGGCTAAAATGATCGAATGTCTGTCCTGTGGCTTCAGGGGGTCCAGATTTCTACTTACTGGCTGTTTGAAGTTGGCAATATGCAAAGTGTATTGATGTCTCCCAGAGCAGTTCTTATTTCATATTTCATATGAACTCTTCTAGCTTTAGGACTGGATCACTTTCTAGAGCTGAGGCATGAATCTGTCATCAGTAAACCGCCCTCCCTTGAATTCCACATGCTAACAGGCAGTAGGTAACTGCTTGTGTGTGTGTCTGTAGGGGCTTAATGTCTAAAATAGAACTTCTGAACTCTCAAGCAGAAGCCTTCTACTTTCTTGCTTCAAGCGGTATGGGCTGCATTAAACAGAAGTGGCATGTCCTGAATCCTAACCAGTAGTGATCTCCTGGCTGGAGAGGGAATTCGAGGTCTGACGAATATGATTCTGGGGAGGACAGCAGCGAGCTGGTGGGTGAAAGAGCAAATAGAGTAAAATCTCTAATCCTTTTGGTTCTTAAGTCCAAATTCACTCTGGGTTGTCATTTACTCTGTGTGGCCTGTGACAGAGCCCCTATCTATCAGTCACATTTTTCACTCCTGCAAGGTGATCTACAAAGCTCCTGAGCTGAGAAAGGCATAACCAAAAGCCAACATCTGCAAATTAAAAACAGGCAAATGCAAATTTCAAAAATGGCCACTTTCTCCAAGCAGAGTACAAAAGTC